AATGTGCCCTCTCCTTTGTCTTTCATTCTCACTATCATTAACTGCAAAATTTATAGATGAACTGTTTCCTAGTATATAAAATATCTCAAAATATAAAATTTGGTTACATAATATTGTCATTAATCTGCTTTGAGAAGGCAGAGTAAAATATATAAGACAAAATAGAAACAGACTCCAAATCTGCAAAGTACTGTACGTCCTTCCTGTTTTCTGAATTGTTAAGAGCAATGTTCCAATTACAAATTCCTTGTACAATAAATAACTTCTAAAGATTGAATTTCTGTTGGCAAAAGACTGATACAAGTAACAGAATGTCACATTCTTATTTTTCCAATTCAATAAACTTTTGTAAATACAGTTTCCATAATCAATTGTCTTTTCCTTTTATTTGGCTATGCGCTGCTTAAGGTTAGGGGTCTGACTCACCTTAATGTGCAAGAATCTCGGTATATAAAGTTCATCTATTACTCAATTATTATAGAGCATTCTACAGGCTAAATTAAGTCTCTAGCATATAATGATGATATCAAGCAATAACTTAATAGGACATAACTACAAGATATGGTAAATACCAGTCCAAATACCCTTATCACCAATGTTATAAAAGCTTACAGTAGTGAGAGGATACAGGATACTAGTAAATGCTTCCTAACATAAACTCATACAGCTAGAAAGATCTTTGTGAAGTCACATTACTTCTGGCTCAAGACTGTGGACTGACCACAAACATTTACTTCCTCTCTCTCCTAAGACCCACCCTCTCATTAAATGATAGTGGAGGAACAGAAAGATAAAAATCAAAAACAACAGGAGAGTGAAGAGGAAGGGAAAACAGTAGCAACATTTCCACAAATTCCTAGAAGGCAGAATGCAGATGGAAGAGTAGTACTTGAAGAGACAGGGCAGAGAAAGCTTTAGTTGCAATAATGAGAGGAAGAGGCTACTGATGAGGAGGAAGCCATCTGTCCTGGTAAAGCCATAAAAACTTGTAGTCATCCGGTGTAAGGAGAGGCAAGAATGAGACAAGGAGCTAAGAACAGGGAGACTGACTAAAAGCTCCACAGGCAATAATCTATATACCCATCTCCCAAAAATGGCATGGTGGCCAGGTATGTATCCCCAGGAAAAAAATATAGAAGACTTTCTTAAAAAACAGAATAAACTATTTGGGGGAGAGCTAGAACAGCTGAACTCCAAATATGACACGTAGGGGTGCTCATATTAACAGCCTGCCCACCATTAACCCACATACCCTATTAAGTCCTGCCCATACTGAAGTCCCAATCAGAGTTTTATCATGTTTTAAATATAAATGGACAATCAAAACCCATCTTTTATTTGAGGAAAGGCTATAGAATAACAGAGGTTAAAAAAAAAAAGATTATAAAAACATAATCCCTGGGGAAAATCAAAATAATTCAGAAAACAGAAAAAAAAACTACATCCTTCAAAAACTTTTAAGATACTACATTCATAAAATAAGAACAAGATGTTGCAAAAGAGAAACAGCGCTCTTAGAGCTCTTAAAAATTAAGATACCTGGGCTTCCCTGGTGGCGCAGTGGTTAAGAATCCGCCTGCCAATGCAGGGGACACAGGTTTGAGCCCTGGTCCGGGATGATCCCACATCCCGCGGAGCAACTAAGCCTGTGTGCCACAACTACTGAGCCTGTGCCCTAAGGCCCACATGCCACAACTACTGAGCCCATGTGCCACAACTACTGAAGCCCATGCACCCAGAGCCTGTGCTCAGCAACAAGAGAAGCCACTGCAATGAGAAGCCCATGCACCACAACAAAGAGTAGCCCCCGCTCTCGCCACAACTAGAGAAAGCTCAAGCACAGCAACAAAGACCCAATGCAGCCAAAAATAAATAAATTTATTAAAAAAGAAAATTAAGATACCTAATTATGACTGTGGTAATAAAAAATTATCAGAGGAGCTACAGGAAAGGTGGAAGGATGGAGGGAGGAGTGGAATCTGAGCAAGTTGTTTGAGACTGTGGTCCAGCAAAATAACAAGGTAACCTGTTTACCAAGACATAATTCTAAAAACACAGAATTTTCAATACACAGATTCTACACAAGGTCAAATCCAAGAGAATAATAAAGGTAAATCCCATAGTGATAACTGCAGGAGCAGGCCTGCAGAGTAATCATTCAAGCAATTTGTGGACAAAGCACAGATGGCAACTGCAGATTTAGAACAGACAGTAAATTATCACCCTTGACAATGCAAAAGGAAAATAAGAGAAGACAGAAGTTGGGAGGGTGAGGAAGAGGAATGGAAGGAAGGTCAGGGGCTAACATCTTCATCTTATAAAGTGAGGAGCCAAAAGACACCGTCTGTGGTTAACGGGAAGCTAAATAAAAGCATACTAAGTGGTCATGATTACTGCACAGAGATTTTGCTTAAGTAATAACAGTGATAACTGTGTGCCAGGCACTGACTGAGAACTTTTAGGAGCTGTTCACTTAACTATATAATACAATGCTTTAAATGATCCTTTAAAAGAAAAGAAAAGAAAAAATTTGAAGCTACAGGGTAACCAACACAGGAACCAATAGTGGTGGTAAAATTACACTACAGAGGAGAAGAGAGAGATAAAGGGTGCAGTGAAAATAGGCTGATACCTTATGCATCAGAGCAGAAAATCAAAAGATAGTAATATCTAAAATTGATAAGCCAAGAAATAGAGGCATAAGCATATTACTTAGATATGTGGCGATCATCCCCAGGAGAACTAAACACTGAAACAATTTTTTTTTTAATATTTTAAGTGGTTCCCTGGAGAAAGAGGACTAGGGTTGGGGAGAAATGGAACAGAGGACTACTGTTTTCATGTATTAAAAAATGTTTGAATTATTTACATTTTTAGTAAATGCGAATGATTTACTTTGATCATTTTCTTCAAATTTAGTCAAAAATATTTTTCCCCCAGAAAAGTAGCAACCTAGTCTGTCCTACTACCTCAGACAGGTGAAATTCTTTTGTATTTTAATGGTTTCCAGAGAATGATCTAACAATGAAAGGTTAGCAAGTCAGCACGTCACAAATTTTTTGGTTCACGTTGCATTTGGTAAATTAATATAAAGTGATTCTGCGAATACTAAGATGTGGCCTTTCCTAGCCTATAGTGGTCTGAAAGACACTGCTTACCCATCTGTCCCACCTTCAACATCTTTGTTCTTTATTCCTCTGTATAAGAATTGAGAGACTTTCATACCCCATTCACTAGTACAGTTTCAAGAAAGAAAATTCCTGATGAGATTATTGATACTAACCAACCAAACCTATCATCATTTCCACACGAGGCTAGAGCTTCAGTACGGGTAATTATGGCAGAGAAGGGCTGATGCAACCTAGGCAGATGCTGTAGATGGTGGACTAAATCCTACAGTAAGTCTTGCATACTATTCATGGAGGTCACAAACCAGTGGTTCAAGAGCTCAAGCCAGCCCACAAACACATGGTTTGGCCTGCATAATGCTGGCCCACATTGTAATTTTGAAGAAGTGGCCTACATCTAAAACTGAGAATTCAAATAAAAATTCAGATTTCTGCCTTTTCTCAATAAATCAGTAAGGGCAACCCCTCGAAACTGGGTAGGAGTGCCCCAATTTGCCACACCTAGGCTGCTTCCCTCATTCATGTTACCAGTCTGGCCTTGTAGCCATTTGTATTTCTGACCTTTGCTATAAAAGATAAAAGGTGTGCATGCCCACTTGACCACAATTTACTCCCTGCCAACTGCCTTACTTTGTTTTTGTTTTTGTTTTGTTTTGTTAACATCTTTTTTGGAGTATAATTGCTTTACAATGGTGTGTTAGTTTCTGCCTTACAATGGTGTGTTAGTTTCTGTTTTATAACAAAGTGAATCAGCTATACATATACATATATCCCCATATCTCTTCCCTCTTGCACCTCCCTCCCTCCCGCCCTCCCTATCCCATCCCTCCAGGTGGTCACAAAGCACCGAGCTGATCTCTCTGTGCTATGCGGCTGCTTCCCACTAGTTATCTGTTTTATATTTGGTAGTGTATATATGTCCATGCCACTCTCTCACTTTGTCCCAGCTTACCCTTCCCCCTCCCCCTATCCTCAAGTCCATTCTCTAGTAGGTCTGCGTCTTTATTCCCGTCTTGCCCCTAGGTTCTTCATCACCATTTTTTTTTTTTAAGATTCCATATATATGTGTTACCATACAGTATTTGTTTTTCTCTTTCTGACTTATTTCAATCTGTAGGACAGGCTCTAGGTCCATCCACCTCACTACAAATAACTCAATTTTGTTTCTTTTTATGGCTGAGTAATATTGCATTGTATTTATGTGCCACATCTTCTTTAACCATTCATCTGTCAATGGACACTTAGGTTGTTTCCACGTCCTGGCTATTGTAAATAGAGCTGCAATGAACATTGTGGTACATGAGTCTTTGAATTATGGTTTTCTCCGGGAATATGCCCAGTAGTGGGATTGCTGGGTTGTATGGTAGTTCTATTTTTAGTTTTTTAAGGAACCTCCATACTGTTCTCCATAGAGGCTGCACCAATTTACATTCCCACCAACAGTGCAAGAGGGTTCCCTTTTCTCCACACCCTCTCCAGCATTTATTGTTTGTAAATTTTTTGATGATGGCCATTCTGACCGGTGAGAGATGATATCTCAATGTAGTTTTGATTTGCATTTCTCTAATAATTAATGATGTTGAGCATTCTTTCATGTGTTTGTTGGCAATCTGTGTATCTTCTTTGGAGAAATGTCTATTTAGGTCTTCTGCCCATTTTTGGATTGGGTTGTCTGCTTTTTTGATATTGAGCTGCATGCCTTACTTTGACTAGAACTAGGACTGAAAGACAAATTTTCAAAAAGTGGTAAATCCTTCTGATCAGTATCTTAGGAGATAACACCTAAAAGCCAGAAATAAAAACTAAAGCACAAAATCCAATAGCTAGCACTGTAATCTACATTTTTCAGTAGAAGAGTCATCATTTACTTACATTTTAATGTCTCTCCAGCATATGGTATGTGCAATTTAAATCGGTCACAGTTGGGTCCAGGAGTCAATGACGTGCAGCTTTAAAAAAAAGAAAGAGAAGAAAAGAGTTTCTTAAAATCCCGCATATTTACAATATTTAATAAGTTAATAAAAAGTGATCCTTAAAGACAAACGATTAAAACACTGGCTTATAGAACAAAATAAAAGCCCTTAATGGTCATGGAGGCCAAGACACAGCAAGACTTGCACTTAAACAAATAATTCATTTCTCCCACAATAAAACCTATATGCCTTCTAAAAATAAATACCAACACTGCATCAACTACTTCTCTCAAAGAAGTGTATCTCGACTTTGAAAACAGGTATATGATCCAAAACAGGTCTGTAGTCTTTGATGTCAAGAGCTGTAAAAGAAGAGTAGTTTTATGGTCATATTTTAAATATAGACTCTTGGTTTTCACTCAGTTAGTACTAAAAAGAGCCCACTTGTGGTCTTTTTCTGGTACCAGATGGTTTTCTCTCTTTTCCCGAAAATAAGGCGCTTCCTCTAGATTTGGCACCCCATAACTTACATCTGTAGCAGAGCACAATGCACTGCACTCAGTTTCAGATAAAATGCAAATCTAAAAGGGGGGTGAGTTAGTCACCCAGGTCTCAACAGCTTGTTTTTTTTTTTAATCTATTACTTCACAAAGTTATACAGTACTCTTTGTTCTTTACAGAGATTTACTTTGTAAGATATCTCTCATAATCTTCTGAGTCATAACTTCAACTGCATAACAGCAGTATTGGCTTCATAAATTAATAAAATATTAATATGAAGTCAGTCAAGGAAGTTGTATGTCTTCATTTAGTCAAAAAAAAGCAAGGTTTTTAATTTGTAAAGAAGGCTAATTTTCATTCATAATTCCAAAACTGCCTATGAAACATTTCTGAAAAAGAACCTACAAAAGTAGTTTAAGGAATGGAAGCATTGTTAGAACAAATGTACAACTTTCCGAGATGGCCACTTTGAAGGGCAACAGTCATTTGAAACTAAATTTAAGAAGTGCTGGCTCGAAGAAAAACTAACTCAGATCTCAGATTAACTATTACTTTTTCCCAAAACTATTTGAATGTGAAAGAGAAAAGAAGCAGACAGAAACTTTAATGTATTTAACATAAATCACTAGGTTGATTATTCCTCTTTACCTTTAGGGGCCAATAAAAATATTAGTTTATAAACTAAACAAAATTGCACTAGTCATTGCAGAGTAATCTACTTTAATGTTTTACAGGTTTTAAGAACACAGTCTCCTTTACCTTTCAATATAAAAAATTCTTCAGGGCACATTTTATTAAAGGTACTAAAATATTTCTCTTATAGTATAATCTTTTCTAGCTCACAACATAGTAGTTCTTTGAAAACGTTTATGGGAAACACATAAATTTTCGCATTATAAAATACAAAGGGACAGAAATGACCCTATAAGCAACACTAAGAATTTTTTCTCTTATATTCAACCAGCAATGTTTTTAAATGATTTTTTTAAAAAATATTCAATCAAGTGTCTTTTGGGGTCTTGAAGATCATCAAATTACCTACACCACTTAATGACTGAAGTTATTAATAGTACAGGAAATCCTCAGGATTAATCTGATTCTGGTTTGTTTGAATAACTCATCCTTCTTCAATGTGAATTAGGTTTCTAGATTCTTACATTCACGGTGGGGCCACACTTTATATTATTCACTTTATGCCTTAACCATGACTAGGAAAGTGCTTTTGTGCTCTGCCTCTTCACCTTCCTCCCTTCCTACTTGAAGGGCTGGTTCCAGCCACCTCAGGGTGTAGAAAAATACATTCCTCCACCTGCGTGATTCACTCACTGATTCTTTTCACTTAGATAAGATTTACTGAACATTGTTCTATGTGTTAGGAATACAGGGTGGACAAGACAGACAAGAGCTACAGTCTCACGATAATTAAATTCTAGCGAGGGACGGAGAAATGATAAAAAAAGAGACAAACACACAAAGATGGTTTAAGATTGCTAAATGTGATGAAGAAAATAAAACAGCGAGCTGCAATAAAACAGGAGCCACATTACACTGGAAGACTGGGGAAGACCCCTGGAGGAGGTGAAATCCGAAACCTGAATAACACGAAGGGGCCAACCATGAAAGCTCTGGGGAAGAGCGTTCCAGCTAGAGGAAACAGCTGGTGCAAAGGCGTGAAGGCAGGAACAAGTTTGATATTTCTGGGGGAAGGAATCTTGCTAAGTCTGGGCAATGCGGCTAGAGCAGAGTGACTGAGAGAGAAAACAGCAAAAGATTAGGACAAGAGATTAAGCAAGGGACAGACCACGCAGAGCCTTGGAAGTGGTGGCGGTTGATCCAGGTTTTACTCTAAGCACAAAGGAAGGTTTTAGGAAGAGTAATATTATCTGATTCTAAGCTTTTAAAAGATTACCCAGTATACTGTATGGAAAAGGGAACTGTAAAGAGGCAAAACGGAAACGAGGAGACCAGAAACGAGTCCATTTCAGGCCAAGAATGATGCTAGGTACTTGGATGAGGGAAACAGCAGTGGCAAGGGAGACCAGAAGATTTATTCAACAGGGACAACTAGCGGAGAAGCTCACGTTTAAGGAGAAGGGAAGTCAAGAGCTGAAAGTGTGAGATGTCAGCCAAGTCTCACATGGACACAGAGGCAGATCCATGGGTGGGCCAGCCAATCTATACAGGCCACTAACACAGCACGAAAAAGAAGAAAAGATAGAAGAAAAACTCACCTTAAAAGAGTCCTGTTGTTGGAAAGATCACTTACTCGAAGTGGGGATGGTGTCAGGGGTAATACTCCTCAAACAGGAGTATACAGGTTATGTCACTAATCTCCAGTGAACTGTAGGGCCTCTGTTTTGCTGAGAGGTATACACAAATTTGGGGGCCAAGAACTGAACTGTTCAAGGGAACAGAGGCAAGAAAGGCTAAGCTGGTCTCTCTCTCCTAAAAAGTAGTCAGCTTCTCCTCCAATTAAATACTGAGAAAATTATTTAAAATATCTTGTTATGCTCTGTCTTTCATATTACCTAGGATAAATAGCTTTATGGGAAACAAACCAATGTCATGTTACCTAAAGGTTCTTTTAAGATTAAACTAAAATGTTTCCCCTTTTTTAATTACCTCTGTCTAAAACTGGTTTTGGATGGACTTCCCTGGTGGTGCAGCGGTTAAGAATCCACCTGCCAATGTAGGAGACACGGGTTCGAGCCCTGGTCTGGAAAGATCCCACATGCCGCGGAACAACAAAGCCCGTGCATCACAACTACTGAGCCTGTGCTCTAGCGCCCGAAAGCCACAACTACTGAGCCCGTGTGCCACAACTACTGAAGCCCAGGAGCCTACAGCCCGTGCTACGCGACAAGAGAAGCCACCACAATGAGAAGCCCACACACCGCAGAGAAGAGGAGCCCCCACTCACCGCAAGTAGAGAAAGCCCGCGAGCAACAATGAAGACCCAATGCAGCCAAAAGTAAATAAATAAAATTTTAAAATTTATTAAAAAACATAAAATAAATAAAATAAAATTGGTTTTGGTCATGTTATTTAATATACCATGAAATTTCAAATCACACTCAAAGAGTGTTTTTCTGTTAATCAAAAAAGGGCACGGGTTAAAAAATACTGAAAACCACATATGGATAGTATGGCTCCACGTACGGAAAAGATAGATCAATGTGTGTGTATTCCTATGTATATAACAGGTTTCAAAAGGACCGTCACCAAAATGTAGCAGGATTTGGGGTGATTTTTAGAATGTTCTTCAACTACCTTTCTGCATTGTTTTGATTAATAATGAACATGAACTATTCTACAATTATATAAATATTTTAAAGCTAAATACATTCTTTTTATATTTGTCTCAGGAAACTTGGCTATGATGGCTTGATTTATCTTTTTCTTCTAAAGTGCTTCACTCCTCTTCAAAAGGAAAGAAGGCAGGATGATCTACCTATAAAGAGTCTTCAGGTAAAGTATACGAAAGTCTTTATATTGTGATATCACAAAATGTCACATTTGTAACATTTATTATCTCTCACAGTTTCTTATGTGGCAGGGTTTGGGAATGGCTTGGCAGGGCAGTTCTGGTGTAAGGCCTCCCGTGAAGCTGCAGTCAAATGCAGTTATAGAGAACTAATACAGTGGGAAAGTTCATTCTCCTAGAAAGGCACTTCCTTACACAAGTATGAAAATGCTAGTAAATAAAAAGCTACCAACTTCATTAAAATTATATTTGTATAATGGCAACTTGTCCTAACACACAGTTAGATCTAAGGTTTAAAAAACCAATATTCCAAACTGAGTATCTTTTAATAGTAAAATAATTTTTAAATGACTTAGAAATTGCTGACAATTTAAATGTAATTTCAAATTTGTCTCTCAACTATATTTTTTTGTTTAATTTTTTTTTTTTTTTTTTTTTTTTTTTGCCACGCCAAGCAGAGGCTTGTGGGATCTTAGTTCCCTGATCAGGGATTGAACCCACGCCCTCAGCAGTGAAAGCACGGAGTCCTAACCACTAGACCGCCAGGGAATTCCCTCTCAACTATACTTCTTGAGTGCTTACTACAGGTCAGGCAGTGTGCTGGGCACTGGGAATACAGCAGTGACAAGAACAAAACACATATCTTGGCATTATAACATAAAAAGGATTTTTGGATGAACTATGCTCTAAAAATGTATCTTTCACTAAATTCTAATTACCTCAATATCTGGGGACTCAAGATTTTAAAGTTTAACATGGGGAAGAACAAAGTGGGTTGAGTTCCCTTTTAAAAAGATTATGCAAGTGGGGATTCAGGTTATCAACAAATCAGGCAGTTTACTCTGGTTCTTTATTACAGAAATTGCAGCTAACCATTGGCACGTTGAAATGCTAAGCATAATAACCTTCTTATACTCTCATTCCTATGATCTCTTATTTTACATCTAATCACGACTCTCAGTGTTATTATTGATCTATTTTCTAATTGTGGTTTGTTTTTCCTACCAGATCTAAGATTCTTGGTGCCAAGAACTGCTTTACAGTTTTTAAA